TTGCTTGTTTGTTTGTTTGTCTGTTTGATTGATTGTTCGGTTCCATGGTTGGTTGGTTCATTCTTTGCGTGCTGCAAACCACCGAAAAAAACAGTCAAAGTGTGATATGTCAAGAACCAAACTATGCTATGATGTGCTATGTCAGGGGCCCTGGCATGTGTACAAGCCTAAAAAGCCATCTCGTGCAATCACATCTGGCCCTCGCCGTCGTTGCCAGTGTGCGGCAGGGGTTCATGACCGACTATGACGTTTTGTTGCAAGAGCATGTCAGCTTGACTGTGGTACAAAGCTGAGTTCGAACAGTTCTGCAAGCTGGGTGCAAAAAATGCAAGCTCTCTGAAAAACAACATCGCCATCCACACCTGCGCATTGCACGGCACCTGCGCACCAGTTGGTCGTCTGTGTAGACCTGAGCAAGACACAAAGGCGATGCTAGCCACTGGTTGCTGGACGGCTACGGCCAGGGCCGAAGGCTCTGCATGGCCGGAACGATTCGATATCGGATCGCCGTGCTATCGAGCATGCCGACATGAAAGTTGAGCCTTTTTTGATGACCTCCGCTACTAGGACATTCCATCACATTCCCGTTCATATACCCTGATACATGCCAAGCGCCTCCAATCGAGCATGGGCAACGTAAATCGAGCATGGACAAGGGGCCATGCCGCACATCCCGGAGTCCTCCGCGTGAACTCGAGGGACGAATCTGGCAGCAGAAAGCTCGCGAGGGACTTCAAGCTTGGCAGGTTGGGGGTTGAGTAGTGTTGAGAGCTGACTGCAGATTTGGCTTTGCTGAGCTAAGGCTAAGGATGCACGGGCTGCGCAATGAAGGCCCAGGGCAGCACACCAAATCGGACTCGGAAGTACTTCTGCGGCGCGGGTCCGATATGGTCCGATATCGGCTAATATGCCGGAACCCAACCACCCTGACCCTTTGCCGGCCTGTTGAAGGCTTTTGGCGACTGCTGCTGCTCCTCGTTGCCTCGAGGATCTAAAGAAGGCAACGTCTGGGCACCGTGTTCTGCTCGAGCACAGTCCACTCTTTAAACATCGGCCCGTCTACACAGATTGCACTAGTCATAGGTTGATGTTTCTGCAAAGGTGCACATCAGCAGATTGACGGGAACCATGTTCGCGTATCGGCTGTACCTGGGTCACTCCAGCGGGTCTTGAACGACCAGGCTGACGAACAAAAACGAAGCAGGCATTCCAAACACTTGCAAGGCACTGGGAGGTGTAGAAAGGAAACGGCGCAAGGGAGGCGACTGCACCTTCGACCATTCACTCGACTAAGCGCTTCAGTTCAAACATCTTGCTGAGCCTGTAGAATCCCTGGATCTTGTGCAGCGTGTAACGCCTAAGACCCAACCATCCACTACGTTCTGCACTTTTGATTTGAGTCCGGCTAAGGCTTTAGGCGGAATGACGGTGGAGAGCGTTTGGGGAGTTCTCCGTTTAGGCGTCCAGGCTCGGCATATCTCGGCATGGAGTAAGCACCGAAAGGTTGTTCACCGGCACATTTCCGATCTCCTCTAGCAGAAACCTTCGCCTGTCTGCTCCTGTTCTCTCTCAGAAAAAAACCCTGCAGCTACAATGACCCTCCAACACTCTTCGCATCGCGGCATTTTTGTCTGTCTTATGGTCTGGAAGTTCTGCCGGCTACGAGTCCGATCCGGCCAACAGGACGAGCAGCCCAAAAATTGGGTCAGGTCTTCCGATGGCTGCTCGATGAGAAAATACCTCGCCAAGGGAACAACTCGGTGGCAACGATGCCCGAACCTCCCAGCGGTTCAAAAACCTCTGCCAAGCCGCTGCGAGATGATGATCATCGCCTGGGCCGCAGCCATTCACATGATCAAGCTAACTGCGGGACTGCAGTCCTGCTGGAGCAAAGCCCCAGAACATAGTCGTGATGCAAAGGCGTCAGCAGGGAACTTGGGACCAAGCCTATCAAAACTCTACCTGGAAGCCCAAGCCCTGCCTGCTCAAGAATTAGATCGAGAGTCGGAGACCCTCCCGATGAAGCTTTGCAAAATGCCGAGAAACAGAGAGAATCCCAGGGGCGCACTGAAAGCTTTGGTGGTTCTCCAGGCCTGGGACCAAGGACCCGAGCGTAGTTTAGGCCGCACCCGCTGTTGACCAAGACGGACCCTTTACATGCGCATTCAACTACGGTTCCAAAGCTTGTTCCCTTTCGCACTCGGTCTCTCAGGCTTCTTTCACCCGACATCTCGTCGACGACACCTACCAGAAATAGACATCAATCATTCGTGGGCCAGCAGCCGCCCTGCCCATCTTCTTGTGGAACAATCATGCCACCATTTTACCCGAAGCCGCCTGATGGCTCAGACATACATGCGGACTGACTCAGAGAGACAGACAGAGTGCACTGGGTTCTTGGTAGGGCTGGTTGCTCTCCGTCGTGTCTGAGAGTCGCATGTCACCCCTTAGGCCTCGCAGAGTAACCTTTGAAAGCTCACAGCTGCCACCTCACCTGTGCATTCAGAAAGCGCGGCAGCAAGTCACCTCCCTTTTCCTCAAATTGAACTTGTCTGCGGTTCTACTTCGAATGAAACAGCCCATAAGACCTGTCAACTCAGCAGCCAACTTGTCGCGTGCTTCGCCAGCTGCAAAGCCGCATCCTTGTATCGTCGCAACGGCAGCTGTGGGAGAAGAACGGGGGAACAGCAGGGGCTGTGAACCAAGTGAGCGAAATGGTGCTGATGCTCTTGATATTTTCGGAAGAGCTGCTGGCTTCGGCAAGCAAAGCTTTGCAACTTGCAGGTTTGAAACACATGTATGTATGTATGTATGCAAGTGTATATAAACATATGTATACATACAAAGAAGCAAAATCAACAAATGCATGAACACACGAACATGTGTACATAGACCTTTCTGTCTCTCTCTCTCTCTATATATATATACATACATACACATATGTATATGTATATAAATAAATAAATAAATATATATATATATATATGTATGTATATATATATATATACATAGATAGATAGATAGTGGGTACCTGGAGGGTTACGGATGGCTCAGAGAGCAGAAGGAAACAGC